CTGCTACAGTGCCCACGCGCCGCCACATGCGCTGGCAGCGCGTGGTTGCCTGAAGCGATAACGCTTAGCCAGAAAATCTCAACATCTTGGCTCAAGACTCCTATCCTAGGTAAAAACCCTATTTGGAACTACTTTTGTTCTTGGACCTACCCCCAAAACAGGCCGGAAGTGGTCGAAACAGTGACCTGAAAGTCTGCTGAAACCTAACTTAAAAATCGAACGATCTACGCTTGAAATCTCTGAAATCCTACCCTACCAGCAGCTAGAGCATGGAAAATAGCTAGAAAACCATACCTCACTCGTCCGATTTGGTGGCCGGAGGTGTCCGAACGAGCTCCGTGAAATTCCATCAAAAACTGTCCAAACCGCCCTGTTTCGTGGTGGTTTCCAGTGACCACGACGGCGGATCGAGGCTGGGATGGGCTGAGACTGAAAGAGGGGAGTTTGGTGGTTCGTTTGGCACCGGTCTTCCTCGAATTGGTACTCAGAGCTGAGAGAAATCCTCTCCTAAAGTCGGCTGGTTGAGTTGCCGACATAGGAGAAATCTGGGTTTTTAAGAACTCAACTTTAAAATATTTACGGTTATGCCACTGAACTTCTTTTGATCGTAACTCCTTCGTTACAACTCCGATTTGAGCCCACTATGTGTTTACGGACTCATCTCCCTGCGCTCTACGCAACGGTATAACTGAAATCCCCAAATTCCTTCCTGGTCAAAAAGTCAACTTTTAAATCATTAAAAATATTCTGAGGGTATAGTGGTCTTTTATTGGAATAAATTAATAATTAAATATTAATGAGGGACCGAGTTGTTACATTTAGGGTAGTCGAAGAAGTATTTGTTTGGTGTGGACTATTTGGAGCCAAACAAGGTGACCGAACAGGAGCTGGCCAAATATCGTGCCGAATATCTGAGACCAGATTCGGTGAAATGGAGAATAGCTAGGCCTACCGAATCGTTGAGCAATCCCAAGGACAGTGAAGTCGTCTTCTTTACGGACATGCTTCAGCCCATTTGGGTTACGCCCCGGGTTAATACAACCCCAACTTCCGGGTGGCCTTGATGGGGGTAATTGTCGTATTCGGCCTTGTCGAAGAGGGGGAGCCAATCTACGAGCAGTTCTCGTACTTATACCGCGTTACTAAGTGAAAGTACGCTGGGCATGGAGGTTGGGTTCAAGCTAACTGCCTCCGGGCTTCCGAGCATGGCCACTTCATTACGGCCGTACCGACTTCCCAGAAGTCGTGGAGGAATCGGCGGGTCCTTCTATTAGGTGATTGGGGGTCATCTTCGGACAAGCCCTTTCAGCATCACATACCCACAACCTTTCAAATAGCTGGTAGGTCAATCAGCAAACTGTTCGGTAAGGTTTTGTTTTTACATTCGACTAATGCTCTTTCTGTCTGCTATGTAGGCAAGTTGAAGTAGTCGACTTCTTATAAGTTCGACGTTCGGTTGGTCGAGCGGGTGAAGCTGAAGGTTCCTACCGTTGACAGGATCTATCCAGGCTTCCTTTTCATGAAGAATCTGGTCAAAGCACACCTTGCCGACCCTGCCGAAAGTAAGTGCCTTTCCGATCATGTGGGTTTGTTCGGTAATAATCTATTGTCTTGCTGATCTATATTTTTTTCTTGTTTAGTGACAGAAGCCCGGTCGCTTGTTGAGGCTAAGAAAATGTTGGAATCTTCGAAGAGACGCCTCTTGATGGGAATGACGGAGGCCGATCTAGTAACCAGACATTGGTCGACCATCTGAAGCAGCTTGGAGTGCATGCCGAATCAGTACCCGAGTGCGTACCGAGTGCCGAACTAGTATCCAAGCGCAGGTTGAATGCTGGGGTTGCTTCCAAGTCCACTGGGAAACGGTAGCTGCTTGTGGATTTGGAAGTCGAACCAATACCTAAGCGCGGTCGGACTTCCGAACAGCCAAGGGCCCTGTTGAGCCTATCACCATTGCGTGCCCATCGAGGACGGTTCAGTTTGCCAACCACATGATCCTCGGTTCGCAAATGAGGAAGCAGGACAAGCCTTCGGCTAACGAGGGTCTTTCTTTTCGTTTCTTTGTTTGATTCTGTTCGTTTCTTTGCTTCGGCTAAAGAGGGCCTTTCTTTTCTTTTTTGTAGGCTTTTATGCACATGTGGCTGTGCATGAAGCGGGCCATCATGGTTGCCAAACGTGCCAAGAAAGCCTACGAAGATGGTTGTTCCAAGGTCGCCGATCTAGATAAGGAGGTGGGCTTGGAGATGGCGGATCTGATCTACTGTTTTAAATGGTTTAACCCCTCGGCAAAGCTCAACCTCAATTTTGTCGCCGATCTCCCTTCTCTGCCAGAAGGCGTTACAGAGGAGATGATCGAGGACTATGAATGCGAGGATGACCTTGCTGCTGCTGAGGGTGCCGGACAAACAGAGAACGCTGCTCCTGCCGATGGCTCCGCTGTTGTCGATGATGGGGCTGCTGCTTAGGCTTCGTCCTCTTGTAGTTTATGTAATTTTATTGTTTTTTGTATTTGTACTCGCCATAAGGCGATTTGATTCTAGACACCTTGATGCCGAGGGCATCTTTCTAATTGACTCAGTATTTTGCTATGTATGCTTGTCTCTGTCTTTGTTTTTGCATTTTTTTTTGTCGCCGAAGGCTAATGAGTTGTTTTCAACAAATGTTACCGATTAGTTGACAGCTGTTGATGGCTAATGCGTTTTTTGATAATGAGTACTCAGGGTTGTCTTTTTAGGAAAATATTGTAAATGAAGAAACAATCGATAGGCTTTAGACCTCAAACCATTTTATTGCAGAGGGCTAATAAAAAGTATATTGCCGATGGCTAATATAAAGGTTGAATCTCGAGTGAACCTTTAATCGGTAAGATTTTTCAAACGGTAATAGGCTAATGCAGGTCCCAATCGTCTCTTTTATTTACCGAAGGCTAAATAAATACTATGGAACGGCTCCATTTTTAAATAAGTGTTAGGACCATTTTTAATCGCCGAAGGCTAAATAAATATTTAAATGGAAGGTTTTAAGGAACAATTTAGCCAAGGGCTTTTCATTAAATACTGCCGAGGGCAAGAATACATGTAGTTCGTTGTATTATAATTTTAACTTGCCGTTTGCTAGGGAACTTCACTTGTAGTAATACTTCAGATGTTCGACGCTTCATGGATGACTGAGGGTCTTACCATTGGAGTCTCTCAGCCGATATGTTCTAGATCGGAGGATACCGATGACTTCATAGGGTCCTTCCCAGGAAGGTCCGAGGGTTCCTTCCGTGGGAATTTTGGTTGCCAAAGAGACCTTTCGCATGACCTAGTCCCTGATTCGGAAAGAGCGGGATCTGACCCTTGAGTCATAGTACTGAGAGACACGTTGCCTGTAGGCTTCGTTCCGAAGGTTGGCTCGTGCTCGGCGTTCTTCGATCAAGTCGAGGTTTAGTGTGAGTGCTTCCATTTGCCTTTGGCGCAAAGCTTTCCGTTCGGTAAGAAGGCTCACCGATCTCCACAGGGACGACGACTTCCATACCAAAGGCGAGAGAGAAGGGAGTTTCTCTAGTAGACGTTTGGATGGCCCATAGTGCTTTAGGAAGTTTCTCCGGCCAAGCACCCTTAGTGTTGTTGAGCTGCCGTTTCAGTAGTTTCTTGATGATTTTATTTATCGCTTCGACTTGGCCATTTGATTGGGGGTGAGCTGGCGAAGCGAAGAACAGATTGATTTTGAGGCGAGTGTAGAACTGTCTGAAGAGATCTGAATCAAACTACCTGTCGTTATCTTTGATAATTGCATAGGGGATACCGAATCGGTAGCAAATGTGGGTCCAGACAAAGTCTTCCATTCTTGCTCCTGTAATGGTTGCCAGAGTTTCGACTTCTACCCATTTGGTGAAGTAATTCACGACTACCACAGCATACTTGACCTGGCCTTTACCTTGCAGCATGGGTCGAGTCCCTATTGGGCAAAAGGCCATGGACTAACAATCGAAGTTAAGGGCTCGGCAGGGATGTGAGGTATACTACCGAATCGTTGGCATTTGTCACACTTTTTTACGAGTGCATTTGCATCCTGATGCATAGTGGGCCTTGTGTGCTGAAATGCCTTATGTGCCAGCAATCGGGATCCAGAATGATCACCACAGACGCCGTCGTGGATCTCCCAGAGGACGTATTTCCCCTGTTCGGCAGTGATGCATTTAAGATAAGGCGTGCTATAGCCACGCTTGTATAGGGTATCGTTGATGACTGTATATCTTGTCGATCGGTATCGTAGCTTTTGTGCCTGAGACTTATCATTGGGCAGCGTACCGTTCATTAGGTAAGTGTAGATTGGAGACATCCACGTGTTTTCATATCGTACGGTACACACTTCAGAAGTTGTTGTACTTGGGTGGGCAAGAATCTCCTCTGACACCTTTTTGCCGACCTTGTCGTTGATGGCCGAAGCTAATCTGGCCAATGCGTCAGCGTGACTATTTTCTATCCTGGGTAGCTGCCGAATCTCGTAAGCCTTGAATTTCTGAAGCAATTGGTGTGTGGTTGACATGTAGGTTGACATGGAAATGTCTTTAGTTGCAAAGTCTGCCATTAGCTGATTCACTATGAGCTGAGAGTCACTGTGAATGCTGATCTGTTTTGCTATCATGTTTTTGGCTAGGCGATGGCTGGCTAAAAGAGCTTCATATTCGGCCTTGTTGTTGGACGTTCTGAAATTGAAATGGAGGGCGTACTCAATCTTGACTCCATCTGGCGTAGTTAAAACCAGGCCAGCTCCACATCCTTGTTGATTTGCCGAGCCGTCGACGTGCAAAGTCCATATAGGGATTAAAGGATCAAAAGGTTTGGGACTTAGTACGCCATGCTCTTCGGCATGAGGACACAGATTTGTTGGCTCGGTTGTCACCGAAAATGTTAGTTCAGAGATGAAGTCGACAACAACTTGGCCTTTCTCGGCAGGTCTCGGCCTAAACTGTACGTCAAACTCTCCCAGCTCTATTGCCCACTTGGCCAATTGGCCAAATGTTTTTGGTTTCTGGAACACCTACCAGAGCAGTTGGTTGGTTAATACTATGAGATGACGAAGGCTAGGGCCAGCTATTGAGTTAAAGTATTCAGCCTTCGCGTGAATGGCTGCTTGCTTCATTAACTCGTTATAGGTACGCTAGTTGCTACTGTGTACTAAGTACCGAAAGTGTGAGGACTGAAGGCCACCTTGAAGGTGCTGTAGGCTGCCCTGTCATATTTCCCAAATTAGTCATGTCAAAATCAGCCATCATAGAATTCTTAAAATCAATAAACATAGGCTCGTCATTGACCATGAAAATAAGATCATCAATAGAGTGTGCTCATATTTTCATTTGTTGAAACCTGCCTTTTTAAAGTATGCTTTTATACAATTGTACCAGGCTCGAGGTGCTTGTTTCAGTCCATATAAAGCCTTCTTTAGTCTATAAACCTTATGTTCATTACCTTTAATCACATAGCTAGGAGGCTGCTCAATATAGACTTGCTCAAGTAGTTCACCATTAAGGAAGGCCGATTTCACATCAAGCTGGAAGATGGGCATGAGTTTTGTGCTGCTAATGAAACCACCAACTGAATTGTATCCTGTCTTGCAATAGGAGCAAAAATCTCCTGATAATTAGCTCCATGCTCTTGACTGTAGCCTTTCACAACTAGCGTTTCTACATGGTGATCTCAAGGAGGAGATTTACATGGATCTCCCTCCTGGTATTCCTGTAACCTCTAAGGAGTGTGTTGTGGGTAAGCTACAGAAGTCTTTATATGGATTAAAGCAGTCTCCAAGAGCGTGGTTTGGGAGATTTGCAGCATCTATGAAGAAATTTGGGCATGTGCAGAGTAACTCATACCATACTTTATTTCTAAAGCGTCATAAAAGTAAATTGACAGCTTTAATTATTTATGTTGATGATATGATTGTGACTGGAGGTGATCAGGCAGAAATGCAAAATCTTCAAAAGTATCTGGCTCCCGGGTTTGAGATAAAGTCATTGGGTGATTTGAAGTACTTTTTTGGGATTGAAGTTGCCAGATCTATACATGGTATCTTTCTGTCTCAACGAAAGTATATTTTGGATTTACTTGCAGAGACTGGAATGTTGGATTGTAAACCAATTGATATCCCTAGCGAACAGAATCATAAGTTAGGGTTGTATCCTGATTAAGTCCCTACAGATAAAGAGCGTTATCAACGACTTGTGGGGAGATTGATTTATTTATCTCATACACGTCCTGATATTGCATATGCAGTGAGTGTAATGAGTCAGTTTATGCATTCTCCTAGTGAAGATCATATGGGTGTTGTGATGCTCATTTTGAGGTATTTGAAAGTAACTCTTAGAAATGAGTTAATGTTTTGCAAGTATGGTTATACGTACAGATGTGCAAGGGTATACGGATGCTGATTGGGCTGGTTCAGTCATTGATAGAAGTTCTACGTCTGGGTATTTCACATTTGTTGGTGGTAATCTTGTTACTTGGAGGAGTAAAAAGCAAAAAGTTGTGTCTAAGTCTAGTGCCGAGGCCGAGTACCGTGGGATGGCTCAAGGTGTGTGCGAGTTACTATGGTTGAGAAGATTGTTGAGAGATCTTGGGTTTGGACCCCAGAAACCCATGGATTTGTATTGTGATAATAAAGATGCAATTGCAATTGCGCATAACCATATGCAACATGATCGTACAAAGCACGTGGAGGTTGATCGACATTTTGTTAAAGAGAAGTTGGATGCTGAAATTATTTCTTTTTCGTTTATATCATCCGAGTATCAACTGGTAGATGTTCTTACGAAAGCTGTGTCTACTACGGTCTTTCTCAACTCGCTTGACAAGTTGGGCATGTGTGACATTTTTGCTCCAACTTGAGGGGAAGTGTTAGCGAGATCCTAGCTTAATTATGATATTTATTTCCTAGTTTATTAGGAATATATTTTTTTCCCTTTGTACAGATATTGTGTAATTAAGATTTTATCTTGTTTTCTAGTTTGACTATACTAGGGTTACATTCTTGTACTATAAATACTTTCTTTTGGAGAATGAAATATAACCTGAAAAATATTCTACCCATATTGTTTGACTGGTGATAGGTTTCTATGCAAGGTTTTGGGGAGTTTTTGGGACTTTGGCCATGAAGAGGTCTTGGAGACATGCCTATTTTCACTTCCTTGACAAAGTGAAAGATGTTGTCCTTGATTTTGTCTCAATCATTGGTACTTATTTGCAGAAAAGATCATAGAGCACAGAACAATCTGAACATGTTAAACATAGTGTTACCTAGTTGAACAAGGTGTAATAAGGCAGCACACACTAGTGCCAGATTCGTGTTTAGGCAATGGGGTAGTCATATTTGGGACCATGTGGGTACGGAACGGTTATTTGATATCCTAGCAGAAGATACCTTGATATTTGTTTTTGAATGAATTTTTTCCCAGCGTTTGTCGAGACTTAGAAATAATTAAAATTATGTTTTATTTTGAGTTGTTTTATCGTGTCAACCCATAACCTAGGTGCTTTTCCCTTTCATATTTTGCCCCTCATTTTATGCTTATTTTCTGTTTGGTTTCCTTGAAAACACGGGAACTAGGGAATAACAAGATATTTGTTTGAAAATAACTTGTTTGAAAATAAGTATTCTTGTTTGAAAATAACTTTTTATTTGTTTGAATTTGAGTGATTTTCTTTGTTCATTTGTTATTTTTGGTGATAAGATATTAGTTTTTGTATTTTGCTACATGGTTTTTTCCTGCCTTGTATATTTCTTTTGTACAAATATTTCAAGGAAACTACAGACAAATGCTAGAGTTTTTGGTGATAAAACTCTCTATGTATATTGGTAAGGAAGAAGAGGACGTTAAATCAATACAGATTTTAGGCTATACATGGCCTTTTCCAAAAATGGTTTACTGGGTTGATGGAAAAAAGGTTTTGTGCAGAGAATGCTAGAGTTACTCATGCTTTCCTTAATTTTCTTCCCCAGTCTTGATATAATTTCCTAGAGTTAAGCTGCCTCACAAGGATCTACTATCCAACCCTTGTATGAAATATTCTTCCTCCTCATCGTTCAAAGTAATATCGTCATCACAAACAAAATTTGAAGTCTTTTATATGAATTAATCTGATAGTCTCTCATTTACTTTTAGCAAATATTTAGTCAGATCAGTTGGTGTTATTATGTTTTGAAATTTCTATTTAAACCCCACACTTTTCTTTGTTCACCCCAATACTTAAATCATTAAGCTCTTAAGTTTTATTATTGTGTAAAAGACAAAAAAGATCATCCAACTCAATACTTAACCATAGTACATCTAAACATACACCCCACCCACCACTCTTCATATTAAGTTTTAGAAAATGGGTTGAACAAAGAGAAGTATGGGGTTTAAATAGAAAAACTCTATGTTTTAAGTGGTGTAACGGACTACCGACGGCCATTACTAATCTGGTCCACACCAATATTGTTCCCAACTAAACAATCTGGGTCAAATATTGTGAGTAGAATTAGACTCAATGGACTCATCCATGTTGTCCATGTATTGGTTTGGGGAAAATGGCTGGGTGTGGAGGTTGATAGGGCGGTGGGTTGTTACAGAGAGAGAGAGAGAGAGAGAGAAAGAAAGAGGAGAGAGAAGGGTGATAGAGATTAGTGCATGTGGTAGATTGTGATATTATCTGACCACGTCTATAGTAGTTACTGAAATTGCTACTTTCAACTTCAAAGTCATTATCTGGCTGAAGTGCTGATGTGGGGTTGAACTATTTACCCAACAACTTACTCAAATTGACTTGGAAGTCTTTGCATGCATGATCGTTGTGTATCATTGGCTTTAGAACTTTTTTTTTCCTGACCAGACTTGGAAAAAGTTCATTTAAAGTTCGCACAATTTGTGTAGGTAGGGATCTGATTATGGAAAATTTTTGTTCTTGTTAGTGTGTCCACGACGGCACATAATTTCAAACAACCATCTGAATTCTCATTGACTCCTATATACAGGGCATCTCTGTATCATCTCATTGCATAAGAATCATGGGTCACAGCAGTGCTTCCATCCAACTTGTCTTACTAATTACACTGTCAGGAATTTTATCCCTTAAAACCATTCAACTTGGTTTCTGCAGTGCTGATCATAATGAGAAACAATTAATTTCCAACTCCATCAGCAGCCCGCGTTTTCTGCCTTTCTAGCTACTTCACAAGTCTTTGTTTCCTCTTTTTGGACAAAAGGCCATCATTCCTTTGACAGTTTGCCCATGTGAGTTGCTGCACTGCCGAACCAAAGAACCATTATGTCTTCTTTCAAAGGTTGCTGCCCTCCACCAAATAAAATAATGCCGAAGCCACATTCTTTTATACCAAGTGTGGCAGCCATCATGAAGAAACCACCGAGACACACGTGGGTGCAATTTGAGCCAACAATGGCTGCTGCAAAAGTCCACAATTTGCTATCCAACCCTTACATGAAATATTCTTCCTCATCGTTCAAAGTAATAATACTGTCATCAAAAACAAGTTTGGAAGTCTTTTATATGATTTCATTTACTTGTAGCAAATATTTAGTCAGATCAGTTGGTGTTCAATACCTTCTTATGTTTTATGTGGTGTACAACAGACTATCAAGGGCCACTAGTAATCTGATCCAACATCAATATTGATCTCAACTTAACAATCTAGGTCTAATATTGTGAATAGAATTAGACTTTAGAACTCCAATTTGGAAATCTTTGCATGCATGATTGTTGTGTATCATTGACTTTAGAACTCTTTTTTTTTTCCTTTATCAGACTTGGAAAAAAAGTCATTTAAAGTTCGCACAATTTGTGTAGGTAGAGAGCTAATTATGGAAAATTTCATTCTTGTTAGTGTGTCCACAACGGCACATAATTTCGAACAACCATCTGAATTCTCATTTACTCCTATATATGGGGCATCTCTATATCATCTCATTGCATAAGAATCATGGGTCACAACAGTGCTTCCATCCAACTTGTCTTACTAATTACACTGTCAGGAATTTTATTCATTAAAACCATTCAACTTGGTTTCTGCAGTGCTGATCATAATGTGGAATGCATAGATATAGAGAGGAAAGCCCTTCTCAAGCTCAAACAAAGCCCCACAGATCCTTCCGATTGGCTTTCATCTTGGGTGGGAGAAGATTGCTGAAAATGGAGTGGTGTAGGCTGCAATAACATAACTAGACGTGTCAACATGCTCGATCTTCACAATCGCGATGGGTATGCTGATGAAGCAACAGATCATGCATTTGGTCGTGAGATCAACCCTTCTTTGCTAGTTTTGAAAGATTTGGTTTACTTGGATTTGAGCATGAATAACTTTGGAGGTGTCCAACTTCCAAGCACTACCACAAAAAGGGCCATAGACGTCGTCTAGCAAGTTTTCAAACCGTCGTGAAATCGACCGACATCTTTTTAAAAACAGAACCACGACAGTAAAATGGAGACGTTGTTCATAGAGAAACAACGTCGGAATAAATAAAAGCCGACGTAAAAGTAAAGAAAATGACCACCAAAATAACTAATTGTGAACCATTA